ACGCCTGGCCAGGCTTCTTCGGATCGATCAGGCCTCGAAGTGCTTTGTGACCGACGCCAGCTCCTCACGGATTGGACTAAGGAAACGGGGCTCCCGAAGCCCAAACTTGAGGCCCAGGGAAGTGACAACCTTCTCAAGGCGCAGTTCCGCTTCTGCTCCAAAGGAGAACTCGGCTTCATCAATGCGAAATACATCATCAGTGCCTTGCCAGAGCTTGAAGAGAAGCCTTTCAAGACAAGGCGAAAAGTGACAGTAGACGGTTGGGACAAAGAAGAGGAGGAAGAGGAGCGGAGGCTCCCGACCACTCGGCGACATCTGGAAAGGATGCACCGCGTCTTCCGCAACAATCTTTCGATGTGTCTTCTTGCTTTCCCCCAGTTCTCGCAGTTCGATGCGTCTAAGCATGATCTTGATGATTGGTATGACTGGTTCTGGGGTCCGGACATTGCGGGGCGAACTCCAGCCCCGTCGGAGAAAACTCTCCTTTACGCTGAACGAAACGCGTGGAGAGCCATCCACAATCTGGTCTACGAGGGCAAATCGCTCAAAGAGGCCATGATGGAAGTTCGTGCTGATGCCCTCTTCTGGACAAGGGAAGTCTACGAGCGCGTGCCTCGGCCTGGGGAGAAGGGTCCGAAGGGCACTCCGAAGGGTGAGAAAGGCACTCCCTCGCCAAAGCCCCGGGCAAGGGGCCCTGGAAAGGCAAGCAAACCTGGCCGGCGTACCAGCCCGTGTATCAGCCCTTTCTTAAGCAGTCCACTAAGGGCAAAGAAGGTAAGAAGGGCACTCCCAAGGGCAAGGGCAAAGACTCCTGGCCCCAGAATTGGTCCAGGAATAATCCTAAGGGCACCCCCTTCTGCAGAGATTACCACATCAAGAAGCAGTGCCCCGGTAACTGTGGACGCTCCCACAACTGCCCGGTCACTAAAGACGGTTGGGTGTGCAATGCCCCTCCGAATGAGCACAGTCCGGACAACTGTCCCTACAAGTGAGGACTTCCAGTCCCAGGTGCCCGTGGCCCTGAACGAAGAGAAGTGTCGGAAGTGGAGACACGAGCTGCCCTCTCCACACCAGGTGCCCTTGGCCCTGAAGGAGTACAGGCACGGGACAGATCGCTATCTTCTTGTGGGAAGACCGCCCCCGCGCCAGTGGGCATGCAGCCCTCTGGTAGTGCTCCCTCGGATGACAAGCCCTTCTCTCTCGGGCCTTGGATTGAGGAACATTACCCGGGCTCTCTGCCTGCAAATTGTTCTCCTGAATGGCTTAATGGGGTCCCCGACCGCCTGGTCCGGAGACTCCAGTGGTCGGCCGTGAGGATGCTTCATCCCTTGAAGCGATCCTCCATGCTCAAGCCCCAGACCTCTCCTCGAGAGTTCTGGCCTTAGATTCCTCTAGGAAGCCCCCTGGTAAGGACCTCCTTAATAACACACTGTTTGGGTCTCTCTGTGCGTCGGCGCTGCAAGGAAGCATCTCCTTTGTGGGAGGATGCCCGGACCTCAACACCTGGGGTTTGGATAGATGGTTTCAGGACTCGGGTACTCTCCAGGCAGTTAGGTCCCGCTCGGCGGAGAACGCTTGGGGTATTGCCGCTCTCCCTGAGGCAACGCTCCACTCGGCGGATGAGGAGAGCACCCTGCTCCTTAGGTTCCTTCTGCTTGCATGGCTCGCCTTCAAGGCGACTTCGTCTAGTGCTACTGCTAAGGTCTTCTGTTTTCTGGAGATGGCTGAGGACCCTGCGCGAGGAGCCACTTCTCCGTCCAAACGACGCTCCTCATCGGCCTGGGCCACTTCGGCTCTGCGTGCGTGGACCTCAGATTTAGGTCTTGGTATTCTGCACTTCGATCTGTGTTCCTTTGGTTGGGTTGTTAGTCGTCCGTCTAGAGCCGTGACGAATCTTCCCCTCCAATCCTGGGAGGGTAAGACCTGCACACACACCCATCACCCCAAACCGGATCGTCCCGTGCCGGGGGACGCTCGACGACCTGAAGCCATGCTACAGTGTATCGCATCGGCACTAGCTGGTAAGCTTCGCGACACAGGCTCTCCAGCAAAGGATTCACCACCGGATCCTGTTTTCAAACTCCTTGCTGGTCCCTCGCTGGGACAGGAGCGTCCTCACTGGGCGGCTCAAGGGTCAGCACCCCCTGGGGCGGCTGTTCAACCCTCCCTACCCTCGCTGGGAGGGAAGCGTCAGATTGCTGGGTTTCCTGGTGCAGGTACCCAGGCAGGCGATCACTTGCTCGCTGCGACCCCGATGATTGGGTGTGATCGGCCTTCGACGCTACCGCTCTCGGAGAAGCTTACCCTCGACGATGCCACAATGCGTGTGACCCATGGTTTTAAGGTTAGGCCCCTAAGGGATGGTGGAGGAAAGACCTCTCCTGGTAGGACCCCTCCACACCTTCGCAAAGGACCGACGGCTCCTGCTCTGGGCAAGTTCATTCGCGAAAAGGCGGGGCCGTGGGTCCCCTCTTTTCTAGCCTCAACGGCCGCGGGTGCCAAGCAGCACCCCTTCCCGGAATCTGTTCTCAACGAGATTCGTGATTTCATCATGCCCCGGCGCCCCCAACCGGATGCTGGACAGCCCTTTCACTTGGACGTGATCAGGAGACTCCTGTGTGACATCCAAGATGTCGATGCTGAGTATCCGCAGATACTTAAAGAAGGAGTCCCTCTTGGAGTGGATACTCCTACTCTCCAATCTCCGGGCGTCTGGCCCTTGAAATCCGAACTCATTGGTGAAGAGTGGGACCCGGTGGAAGCTCCACCCCCCACTGGCCATGCTAATTACTCCTCCGCGGACACATTTAGGGAGGAGATCCGGGCCACCTTTGTTGAGGAAACCCCCTTGGGCATGGTCATTGGACCGTGCACCCGCGCCGAGGCAGCGGCGCATTGCCAATGTGCAGAGGACGAGCTCTGCCCCTGCCCCATGGCGGGGATTGATGAGTCGGACAAGATCCGTTCCATCTTCGATGGGTCTAAGGGTGGTGCTAATCTCCGTATACAGCAGAATACCGTAGAGAAAACCACGGCCCCGACGGTCATGGACTGCGTCCAATGCCTGCACTGGCTTCGGGCATCTCGCTCTCGTGGGAAACCAGGCGCCCATGGCCCTGATCCTGAGGAGCATGCAACCCTGGCTACTGCCCCAGGGGCGACAAGCCGGGAACAGGACGGTCCTTCGGGTAACGCAGACTCCAGCGCCGGCTCCGGCCTACCCTGGAGCTTCCCGGGCTCTGACGAGGACTGGATCTTGCTCAAGGCTGATGTTACTAAGGCGCACAGGAGAATCAAGATTCTCCTACGAGAGTGGCGTTACCAAGTTGCCCAGCTTGGTGAGGAATGGTGGGTTAACACCGTAGGCACCTATGGAATGGCCAGTGCCCAGCTCTACTGGGGAAGGATGGCTGCCATCCTTCTTAGGATTGTGTATGCCGTGTTTCCCGAGGTCGACTGGGGTTTTGTTTTTGTCGACGACTTTGCCTGGCTACTCCGTAAATCGAATTCCCCTCTTCTGGCAACAGCGATTTGCTTGCTGCTGCTTGCTCTCGGCACTCCTCTGAGCTGGAAGAAAACCCTGCTTGCTGAGGTCAATACTTGGCTTGGCTTTGTCATTGACCCAAAAGGACCCTGTGTGCAGATGGCCCGAGACAAGCACCTGCTTGTCATCGGCATTCTTGAAGAGCTTAAAAGCGGTAAAGTCATGTCGGCTTCTCAGATCGCTAGCGCTTTGGGTAGGCTGCAGTGGGCGACAACGGCCTGCCCCCTCACCAAGCCTTTCCTCCAACCCTTTTGGGCTTGGAAGAAGGCCTGCCTGACTGCAGGACGTCCGGGTAAGCTTATCCGTGCACTCTCAGCTCTGCTCCTCTCTCTTTTTGACCAGAAGTTCAGACAAGCATCGCCGTATGCCCCGCTTGCCATTTGGTCGGGGGCAAGTGATGCTAGCGCCTCAGATGATGGCAGCGCCTATGTGGGCGGCTGGCTTTCCAACGTGGACTCCCCGTCCAAGTCGGAAGTCTTCTGGTTCCACTACCAGGTCACTGCAGAGCGGCATCCATGGGCCTTTGACAAGGGCTGCCCGAAAAAGCGCATTGCTGCCCTCGAGATGTTTGGCACACTGATCCTTTCTCACTTTCTCATGGAGAAGGCGCCTGCGTTCATACCGAACCTCAGGCTTCCCCTGGTCAGCGACAACCAAGGGAATGTGTACTCGCTCCTGAACGATAAGTCCAAGAGGATGCCAACGTCGGTCATCCTCATGGAGGTACTGTACCAGCTGCACCGGCATGGTATGCAGCTCGCTCCCTCCCACGTCAAGCGTGACTTCAACACTTGGGCTGATGATCTGACTCATCCCAACTTTCAAGGTTTCACTCCATCTTTCTGCTTGCCGGTGGAACCCGTGCTCAAGCATTTTTCCCTCATCCGCTCTATCCTGGAAGATCGTATTTTCGACGATCCTTGTGACCTCACCCATGGGCCCGCGCAGGGCGCCCGGTGAGGATGTGGCTGCCTCCTGTACAGGCTTCTTTCTGGACGGCACAAAATTTTGGAACTCTTTTCTGTACAAGGAGGGTTCCCGATCCACAGGTGCCGTAGGCCCTGAAGGAGGGGACCCTCCTATGTTTCAGGTCTTCGACCGAAGGAGCATCCCGGGAGTCGGCAGCCACACCAATCCACCATGCAAAAGAGGGCTTGCGAGCATGGTCTTTTGGTGTGCCATTTTCATGCGGATATCTGACATTGTACTCTAACTAGCAGAAAAGCCAGCAACATTCAGAAATATTGACCACCGTTCTGTGCTATCTGAGCTAGATGAAAAATCACAACACACCCACACACAGTTTTGCACGGGGGAACATGCAGTTACGCTTGTTTGTGGCACGGATGGGCAAAGGTGCAGGGACCCTTCCGTCCCAGAAGCCCGGACCCGGAATCTGTCCTCCACGTCCTTTTCCCGGTTGCCGGTTGCATTTAGGAACATTGACAATCCTCAGGTGGCCCATTGCATGCGGCGAGCCTTGGAGCTAGATGCAAGCCGCGCGGACGCGTGGCCCCTTCTCGGCAAAGACCATCTCATCGTTCCTTAAAGTGCAGCCGTGGCCTCGTGCACTTCATGTCAGCGCACGAGCTTCGATAACAAGGCTGTTCTTGGCCGAGTGCGAGTACCGCCGTGGCGATTTCGAAGGCGTCGCTGCCTCAGGTTGAAAGTTCGGGGCCGGGCTCTGCAGCACGGGATGTTGCAGGATTCGGTTTACGAGCTCGCAGATGTCTGACATCGTGTCTATAATAGTGTGGACAGAGTGTGGGTGTGTATGTATGTAAGTATGTATGTAAGCATGGGCCGCTTCAGCATGACATTCCGATTGAAACGTCACCTGCACGGCTTCGCACCATCGACAATTCAGAACCAAAACGTACCGAAAATCGAAACTTCAAGAAGACCAGGGCTGATGCCGAGAATCCAAGAATACGCGAAGGAAAGCCCAGATTGTGCAAACCCTTTACCACGTGTTTCGTGCGAGTCCTTGCATCTGAGTGTGCCCTTCTTGGTTGGTCATCATTGACTTCCACAACAATTTTGTTGATCGGGACATGCCTTCTGCGACCGTACCTGCTCCGAGTAATGTTTGAGCATGCCAAACATGGCCACACACAGCAGCAAGGTCAAGCACGGCACAGCGCTTGCTAGAGTCCAGCTTTCGTTGTAGAAGATTGTAGAACCACAGCATGTTGAGCGCATTCCTCAAGTTCCCCCGAGCCCTGCCTGCGAAGACCCGCTGCTACTTTGCGGCAGTGGCTGGTGCTGGCTTCGCCGGGGCAACTTTCAGTGTCCAGTGTCATGAGCAGTGCCACAAACAAGTCACAAGCAAGGGAATCAATGAGGGAAGCGTCAAGCTGAAGAATGGCAGGTCGATTTTCTACAAATCCTGTGGAGAAGGAGTACCAGTATTTGCTTTTCATGGAATGGGAAGTGCACATACAACCTGGGACCAAGAGAATCCCGAACCTGGAATTCGGCTAATTGCAGTTGACCGTCCTGGCTATGGTTCCTCGTCACCGCCTCCTGCTGGATACAGCTACAGGCAGTTTGTGGCAGACCTTACTGAAACCGCTGACCAGTTGGGCTTGGAACGTTTTTGTGTGGCCGGCCATTCGTCCGGGGGTCCATATGCTCTTGCCGCTGCAGCTTTGCTACCTCAGAGAGTGGTTGCTTGTGCGGCCATTTCGTCAGACCCGCCCTACTATCACCCCAAAGTTCCTGAAGCCGTGCGTCAGGCTGATGTTTCAGCTCAACCAGTATTTGGCTTGGTTGAAGAACGGCTGGCGAAGTTGGGCATAGAGATCAAGAAGCCAATGGCTCCTGTGGCCAACTACGTCCCATGGCGCAAGTCCGGAAACGTGGTCTACATCTCAGGCCAGATACCAAAGGATGGAGATCTGATCCACAAGGGGCAAGTCGGAGGTAATGTGAGTGTGGAGTCAGCGGCTGAAGCTGCAAGGCTGTGTGGCCTGAATCTCGTCGCGCAAATGCGAGAAGCATGCAACGGCAACTTGGATCGAGTAAGCAAAATTCTGCAAGTCCAGGGATTTGTAGCATCTACACCAGATTTTTCTGGCCATCCTCAAGTCATCAATGGAGTGTCAGATTTCCTGGTGGAGGTTTTCGGCAAGGAGGTGGGTGCCCACAGTCGCTTTGCTGTCGGCTGCAGCTCCCTTCCGCTCGGAGTCCCAGTTGAAGTTAGCGCAGTGATTGAGATCGATGAGAATGCCAACACTCCAACACCACTCGGGTTCTACGGAGTGGATCCTGTAATCAAGGGACAATACATGGCAGCTGGAGCAGGTGAGAAGCGGCAATACAACTGGAAGCAGGGACCCCTGGGTTTCGTTACCGACTATGCCCTGGAAAGGTTGCCCTGGTCCTTCAAGCTGGAAGAGATTAGCCAAGGAGAACGGCTCACCATATGGGTTGGTGAGAGGGATATACCTGTAATCTTGCATGGAGCTCCGTTTTTGCAATCACTTATTCCAGGCTCCAAGCTTCAAGTTGTGCCGAATGGTGACCACTCCTTCAAGCGATACCCTGAGCACCTTTCCGCCATACTGCAGGAACTCAAAGTCCATTGGGACAAGCAGTGTCTATGACTCCGAGTCTCTCGGGGTTGTTGCGACTAAGACCTGCACGCTTGGTCGCAAGCGAAGAGAAAGGCCCGCCTGCCCGCCCATCCCAGCGGATAACGTGAGAATTCGAACTTCAGCCTGGACTGGAGCAGGTGCTTTCCATGCCTTCGACGAGGTTTGCCGATTAGACCCAGACGGCCCAGCAGCACAGCAGGCGCAGTCCCGCTTCATGTTTGGAGTGTTCGCTTTGCCAGGGCGATAAGACATCATGCGGCCAGGATTGTGAGGTGTTCGACCGGACCTCGACTTGGTGCCGAGTTGCTGACAAGATCTTGCATGCTCCTTCATGCTTTTGTCACTGCACGTTCCGCAGGCCATTGCTGACCAAGCCCTTCTTCGGCGAAACCTCCGTTGCGTCATCGTCCAGCGGAGCTTTGGCTTTGTGTTCGCTGTAGGCCTGCAGCGTGAGAACGTGCAAATTGACCTCCCCAGAGCCGTTGGTCTGGCTACACTGCATATTGCCGCTGGCAATGACACTGCATGGTATCCGTGACAGTCACTGCGGTTCAGCGCCAAACTGCTACTATAACAAACTGCTTTGCCTTCCAGGCCCGGAGGCAGCGAGCTCCGAATCCAAAGGTTCTCCGAGCCGTAACTAACGAGGACATATTCCCGGATCCGAAGCCACATTGAGGAATGTCTGGCAGCTGGAGACGGCACGAGCCCTCCACAATGGCTCAGGAGGCTCCACCTCTTCCGTCAATTTGAGCAGTGATGCCAGGACCCAGTGAATCCAGCCAGTTCGGGCATCATCTTCGACTCAGTGGAAAGCCTAACCTCCCGTCCCCTCCACTCCTCGCCCAAAGCATAGAGCCGACAAGACCGAAAAGAACAGAATGCAAGTTAATGTTTCACCATACAGTATGATATGGCACAATACACTGAACGATACTGCTACATGTATGTCATACGAGTGTCTCTTAAAACGCCATAGAATAGATGGCAACCTAATCTTAGCTGAACTGTCTTAGTTTATTTTGTCATGCGCTATCGTACTCTTCTATGCTATATCATACGTAGTATAGTGCACTGTCTTATACCATGTGTTCTAAATAACCGAATTAATTTAATTACTCTGTTTGTTTGTGCTCCTCCGAAGGCCCCAACGGTCGAAGAGCCTCGCCTGCGGTCCGATTGTGGGATGCCGCCTTGCCGGAGGATGCTGATGTCAGCTGAGCGGCAAGGGGTCACATTGCCATCAAAGCAAAAAGCCCTGAACTCAGGGCCCTTGGATTATTTGGCATGACACATGACACGTCCCGCGTATTACACAGCATGACAGTCGACATTCTTGTTGTTTGATTCCCACTTCTCCAGGAGCTTTTCGGGCTGGTCAGAGAGAGTGTGGGAGTCTCAGCTACAGTCAGCTTCCTGCTCGCTGCCGTTCAGACACATATGAAGACCGGTCCAATCAGGGCTGTAGTAATCATAAGTCGGCATGATTGCCAGCTTTATTGTCTATAGTTCGGGAGACATGATGATGATCGTCATCATGCCGCACGGTATGGATCATGCCCTGCATGAGCCGCTCGAGTGACCTGCGGTGAAGTGCTAAATACCCATAAATGAGAAAACCGACAGCTTATTTAGACTTTAGATGGGGTGCTCATGGTTTCCTCCCTTTCCATCCAGCTGCTTGGTAGATCCTCAAGGTGGACGACCTTTGTGTGTGGCGGACAAAGAGCCCAGCAAAAATGAACACGCTCCATGGAGGCAATCATGCGCACTTGTAAGTACGCAGTGGGCAGATTTGAATACGATGCAGGAAAGCATTCGGGGCTGGTGAAAGAAGCCAGATTCGTCGTGCACCTGGGTGTGTTCTTCGACTTTTCGTCGTATCAGGTTTTCCGGAGATGCCACCTGAGGATCTAGCAATGTGCACCATTGGTGTGGGGACGATCGTGGCACGAGTAAGACTCTTAAGACAGCAACGAAGGAGGATGGGAGGGAACAAGAACGGGCAAAACCACCAGCCTGCATTCGGCCCCTTGCCACACCAAGCTTAGGCTTAAGCAGCAAACTGGAGTTGATTTGAGAAGCTTGGAATCACGACACTGGATCTAGTATACCGGCCCAAGCAGAACATGTTCAACAAGACATTGTTCAGAGGCCAGCACTGCCCCATCATGATTCCTCCATATGGGACCGAAATCTGAACCATGCTGAAGGCCATGCTGCCACCTTCTCCAACACATCGACCCCGACCCCATCGAGCCCTGACAAGCTCGGAATCTTGCACCTCTTCGGATGCAGATGACATCTGACAGGTGTTCGCATCCGCACAGAGGGTGGAATGCAGAGCATGGTCAAGACGCCACTTTGGGGGGGTGGGGGGCATTGCTCTAGCTCTTGCTGTAAACCGTCTAAACCCCGATTTCCAAATCTCTTTTTCTTGTCTGATTCGGAGAGGCGCATCTCCGAAATCCAAGGTTCTGGCTGGATCGGAGCTCAGAGCCGAGGAGCGAGGAATTCAAAGTTTTCCCTTTATCCCTTAAATGTTACCACACAGGTTCACATCCTCGTCGTACAAGAAAAGCTGTCCCGGATACCTTAATCTCAGCTTAACATAAGGGCATTGCGGAATGGTGAAAGTCTGTCTGGGTGTTCGATCTTGAGCACAGCTGCAGGACGGCTGCAGAGGTGGCAGGAAGAGCGCTGCTGAGGCTGCTGGGCCAGGACGACCCAAACTTTGCTCTTGCTGTGAACTCCCTGTCAGGGCATGTGCAACAGGTTGACTGCAGCCATGGTGTAGGGTTGCAAAGTTCACTACTCTTGGTGGGCCGGGCCTGTGACATTTGTGCCGTTGCTACAATATAGAATGCCACAAAGAAACAATCAAGTGACGCTCAACAGGACCACCAGCAATATCGAGGCATCGAGTGGTGGTGTCGCAACCAGGCGGCGCAGATGGGCGCTCATTTCCACTACGATACTGCTGTCTCCGCCACTTCTCAGCATGCGAGCAGCTGGGTTCCTTTCAAGGTTGCTGATGATGAGGTTGTAGCCAAATATGAAATCGATGATCTCCCATACACGGCGGGTGCAAAGCATCGTGTTCTTCAAACTGACCAGCAGATATTCTAAGGGCTGCGAAGGGGCAGCGGCCTCGTCAGAGTCCCTTCGCCCAACGCTTTCCAGCGTGCTCTACCTTGGGGATGTGGGTGGCCCCACCATGATCCTCAACCAGGTCGGAAGGTTGAACGGCGGAAGAACTTAAGACATCGTGGTGCTTGTAGGATTCGGCGGCTTGCGGGTGGCGCCTGGTTTGTTGGAGCACGACCGAAGCTACGCTGCTAAGAGAGCTCGCCTTGGTGTGGAACTGCCAGGTGGCCTCTTCGCAAGCCAAGCTTTCTCCTCCAATGCCGGACAGGGGTTGGACAGTCGCGACACGACGGCGCCTTAGCTCAAACTGAGACTCATCGGCAGGTCTATGGTCGGTAAGATCATCATGACTTGTGTACCGCACTGGAACGACACCAGCCGTTGGCTTGGTGCGCAGAAGACATGCGCAAGAGCACGAGGGCGGAATTGTTCAGAACGAACTACAGTCCCCCATCTCAAGACATTGACAGCGTTGAGCCACTTTCCGATAAGCGTACTCCATCGTGTAGGTACCGCATGATGAGGCTCGACCGTTTGGATGAACCGCTGCAGCTGCTGACACAAAAGGACAGCGAATGTACGAACCCTAAGCGAAGAGTGACTGCTGGCATGAGCGGAGCTGCACATCCTTCAACTTCTTTACGAGTGCTGGGTCCCTCCATACGCCTGAAAGCCCAACCGACTCTCAATCGTAGCCCCATTTTCCAGTGATCCATGCAACAGCGCCAACTACGTCGCCCCAAGGAACAGATGGTTGGTCTTCCCTGGTAATCTTTTCCACGGCGCAGTGTCATTTGGTGCCAACGAGGCAATCGTGTGCTCCTTGTGTGTGTGTGTGTGTGGGGGGGGGGCTCTTGATATTAAGCGACGCGTAAGACAAAGAACACATGCTCTGCAGCTGAATCCAGCACAGAATCAACTTGAATGCAGCAGCACCAGATGCAAGGCCCAGCCGTCTGCACCTCGCTTTGTGATTCTGTGCCGCGGCATACTTGGGCAGCCTGGGAAAATTGCCGTCGTGCTTTCTGCTCTTCATTGAAGGTTTGCACTACTCGGAGCGCAGTGGCATCCCGTAACACGCAAGAGGTTGAGCTGAAGCCAAGGATAGCCTCATGCATCCTTGCAGATGCTTTGTCGTGAAAAGCACGTGTGCGTGTAGGCACAGGTGCTTGCGATCGACCGGGCAGCGTCTCGGCTCGATCGCCCGAGTGTTGATTTACACTTGCTCCCTGCCTCCCGTCGTCTGGGCGGCGCCTGGGCCTAGTTTGGCCTTGATGCCTTTGTGGCGGTTTACGGGATGAAGAACCGTCGTCGTCCACGTCGGGCACACGGTTCCTAGGCGGTCCTGAATTTGTTCCGGCAGAGACGCAGACTACGCGGGCGAGCTGGGCCTGACATCAGTCATCGCCGGGCTGACGAACAACCATCTGGAGGATGGACGTCGCCGCATTTGAGGAACTTTCTGTCGCCTCTCTCGAGGCCGCCGTCGCCCGGGACAGGGCAGATGGCAGGTCTTCGTCGTCCAGCTCGTCAGGCGACTCGATCGCCGAGGTTGCCGCGGCCGAGTCTGGGCCTTGCCCGCCGCCAGCTTTCGCTGCAATGAAGCTGGGTTGCCTCCCGCAACGACTTTGACTTTCGGCCAACTGTCTCGTCTGGGCTCCGTCTGGAGTGAACCGGGCGCCGCATCGGTTTTTTTCATGCCGGCCCGTAATTCTCTCCAAGCGGACTTGGAGCGCCGTTGCACCTCGTCGCGGCCACATTGCTGGCTGCGGAGAGAGGGCGGGCTGGCAGCCCCGTGGCGGTGCTCGACGGGCTGATCGCCATCAAGGGGTTTCACGTGCTCTTGGCGATTAGGACAATGCCGTTTGTTTGGCGGGACAAGAAAGCCACAGCGCGCAACGTCGTCCTGGGCCTGTAACGCCGGGCCCGCCGGGCAAAGAGTTCGAGGACACTTACTTCATCTTTCTTCCAAGCATATACCCGAGAAGGGTGGCGGAGGGAAGGGTTGTCCAGGGCGAGCTATCCACGGCGGACGCCAAAAGCAGGAATCTCGCTGCATGGGCACCCGACCCACCATTGACGCTGACAGATGCCACACCACCTCCTTGTCCTCTCCACCTCAAACTGCGCCGGGGGGGAGGACTTGGCATAGCTCAGGACGTAACGCCACGATGAGAACGTTCCGCGTGCCCACCCACCACTTCGTCTTCATGCTCCGTCGGTGGGGCCGGTGGGCGGTTAAGTGCCCAGGTCATGGTTGCACGATCATGCACTCGGAGGACGTGACCATACTTTGGTTCCAATTCGCCATGAGCTTCGGCACAGCGGCGAGCGTGTGGAAGTTCAATTGGGCGGCCGACGCCGTCCAGATTGTGCTTCGGGCGCTCTTCTCGGTGCTGTTCGCGACTTCGCCGGCGACTTCAACAGTGCCGTGCGGAGGACGACCTCTACGCCGACTCCGCGCACCACGCCATGGCGGACATGGAAGGCCCAGGCACCCGCCCACGACCACATCCTCCATCGTCCACCACATCGTCCAGGCCGCCCGACTTCGGGTAGATCCTGCGGCCGATCCATGAAGCATCATGAAGCTTTGCATTCGGACTCGCTCCGTCTTGACAAGGCCTTCAAGCTGGCGGCTTTTTCCCCAGTCCATCTTTGACTGCCCAACTTTGATTTCCCGCCCACTAGCCGGCCGCCGGTGGCGGGTGCTTTGGGGTGGGGCGGCACCGGCACCGGTTTCAGAACGGCGCAGGCCTGCATGTTCGAGCGGCGTAGTTCGTGCATGTTCGAGCTACGGCAGCTCGACCAAAAAGGAGCCACTGCACCGGGGTAGAGTTATGGCGAACACGTCGTCAGTGGATGTTCGTGGTACATTTGTTTTCACGACCGCATTCACACAGTGCACGCATGTCGGGGCTTAAGATTTTAAAGATGCTATTGTCCCAGTCCCGATGATGCATAATCAAGACACAAGATAGAAGATCATACAGGGTCCTAAGATAGTGTTCGAGAAGTTGATCGAGAGTTCAGACGTTTTCATGGTTCCGAGCTCCCGACCCCTTTGCAAACCCCTTCTCAGGTTCAACTTTTGGCATCTTGGCCGCATCTAAAGGCAGGGATGATGATCGCCACTGTGCGAACCGTTGAAAGTGCGCCATATCCGAAAACTCCGATCGCGGAAATCATTTGCATGTTTGAGAAAACGACCATAAGCATCATCATGACACCTGGAGCTGAAAACCTCATGGAAAAATCCTGTGATTCCACAGTTGAGCGACAAGGGCGGAATACCGCCCGGCGGCACCGTCATGCCAAGTCCCTAACTTCCAGGACCGGAGCTGCGTGGGTCAAAGGGCAGATGTGAAGGGAGCTGAAAAGTAAGGCCAAGACCAAATTGCAGCTTGTTGATATCTGTTCGCCAGCATGGCCGCTCAATCTATCGCAACTTTCTAAACAGGACTACCGGCCTGTTTGCAGCATATCGCCGACCGCATGCCACCTCCTGCCGGACAGTCGCATCGAGGAGCTGCAGAGACTCGTCCAGGCCTTGGTGGGTGTTTATGTGGGTCTCCAGGCAGAGTGAGTTCAGAACTTTGGAGGATAAGCTAGCAGCACTATCGCACAATGCACAGGCTCGAGAACAGAGACCACGCCCGTCCCTTAGTCAGAACAGGTGGTTTGTCCTCCCATCTCGACACACACAGCCGGGATCTCACGTGTTGTTTCCGCTTGGGTGGGCGATGTCTTTGCTCAGCAGCTCCTCATAAACACAGCCTTCAGATGCCATCACTTTTGCAAGCAAGGACTGTCACGACGACTTCGGCAGACAATCAACAGATGTTCATGCTTTGCTACAAAACAGGCGGTTTTTGGACCGCCCACAAAACTATGCAAAAGAAAAGCACAAAGAGGCAGAGACAGAGACAGAGAGAGTAACCATACAGAGGACGGCTGTTTCAGCAAGCTTTCGCTCTTTGAGACCTGGGCATGCGACCCTGAGCCATCGACGCCCACACACCTGACCGCCCACTAAAACTCTGCGAAACCATGAATGATGCAGGGAAGCACGCACGCAGAACAAAGCTCAAAGCTTTGGCTCAAGACCGAGGGGTTGCACCACATGCGCTGGGAGGCCACCAGCAACAATGCGAGACCAACAAACCACAAGCAGCCGACGCTAGCACGGGGGACCCACTCGGCCACCGCCCGCCCAACCACTGCAGCAAAGGGGTTGCACAAAAGCGGAACAAGCAGTCACAGCAGCCACAACAACAGCCGCCAAACCCACTCTGGGACGGGGAGTACACGCAGCAGCCAAGAAACCCACCGGCCACAGCAACCACGGCAGGAAGAGTCCCACCCAAGCGGGGCACCGTGGTACAACAGCACCTCGACAGTGCAGGGCATCAGCAGCCACAGATGGACCTAATGCGAACATTGTTGACACAACTGCAGCCCATCCATGATACCGCGGCAGGGGGGGGGTAGCCGGGGGGGGGGGGAGCGGCACCACCCGATGGCGTGGCCGTGGCACCCACCAGAGCCTATCAAACATCTCCGACGGTGAGCGAGCACAACGAGGGGGAGGCTAATGATACTGAGCGCAGGCTCGCACCTTTCTATGGCAAGCATGGCCCTTACTAGCCATTAATCGATGTTTCGATAGTCCAGTGTAGTTTGTATTTTGTACCGTGAACAGGTACATTGCATAGCTGCGAAAGGGAAAGAAAAAAGGCCTTGCACACATGTCTGCAAATACCTTCTCCTGCCAGACAACAATACGCGCCAGGGGTCGATCCACTTCAAAATGTGTCCATATTGCAGCTTTTATCTATCCCTCGGTGGTGGTGTTCATGTCGAGAGCTTGACAGACAGCAAACCACCGGGGGGGGGATGACTCATGAATTTGACTTGGAGCTCATGTTGTTAGCCTCCGCAGAGCATGTTCTTCTGAGCCGGGGGGGGAAGAAGTCGTCTCCTTGCCAGTGGCTGTTTCCAGTCACCGAGGAACCGCACGTGTGCGCGCACGGAGAGAGCATCTGCACCGCTGCCTTCTTCACATCCTGCAGGGAGAGAGAAAGGGAGGTGGTGAGGGCCTGGCTCAGACATGAAGCCGGTCCCTCCGATCCTTACGTGTGCCACGGAAGACCCGAGTGCTGTCCAAGGACGTCTAGTGGCGGTTGGGGGAGGGGTTTGGGGATAGGCGGACTCATGGGCGCAGGACGCACAATCCCCCACAAAGGGCAGAACAGACCTTGAACTGCCCGCGCTTTGGGGGGTACTGTAGGCCTCCAGGCTAAGGGGGTTGTCCGCAACCACGAAACCCCAAGCAAGAAAGGAAGAGAGAGAGAGGGAGAGACATGCCCTTGCAGAGGAAGAGATTCTTCACGCCCAGTAGCAAGCAAGCAAAAAACGAAAGGTCCGCAGGCGTAGCGCTGTTCGCAGGGGTTGTGAGGGTTCTCCCCTATGGCTCCAAACGCCCTGCAAGCAAGCAAGCAAGCAGGACGAAGGGTCCAGCAGATTGCGGCTGCACTGTTGATCGCTCTAGCCTTGCAAGGGGGTCATACGGCGGCTACAGGCGTGTTTTCAGGGAGCTTGAGTGGCACAAACTGGCGGATGACTGGCTGCCGTTTTTTCAAGAAACCCTTGCAGCCACATGCATGGCTCTACTGTTTGGAAGGTGCAAAGGAGTGCGACAGAGGTTCATCCATCGGAGCTTTGTACTGCCAAGGACTGAAGATTGGGCTGCTGCTGGCATACATGCATGCGATGTGTGTCTGAAACGAGGTTTGAAGCGTTGCAAAGTGCAGAGTCCGACTTCTGAGATCTCCTACCTGTGAGGAGATGCCCCAATCGGTTCTCATGGAAGATTTTCCTTGTGGCTTGCCACTACCCGTCCGGGAGGCAAGAAGGAGAGTGCAATACTTGTCTTGATGAATCCGTTCAGGCCAGGAGCTGTCCTCCTCCATCTTCGCACCACTCGTCAAAAAACGGAACTCTTGATGGCAACGTAGCATTGGTATACGTCTGGCAAGGCGAGCGAGGTGCTGCAACTATCGTCGCTCGTCTTGCTGGAACAACATCGTTTCTCAAATGAAGCTATGAAGCTGACTTCCGATTGTAACATGCAAGTATGCGATACAGAGCACAACCATTCAACCACAAGTAGTGTTTGAGCCCTGTTTGCATGACACCCAGGACGTTTATCTAGAAATATGTCGTCGGTCTTGTTGTCTCCCGGAAGACGCTGGTTTGGGCAAATGTTGGCTCCCCACTACATGCCCCCTGATATAGACAGGCTTCGTGTGCTTGCATTGGCCGATGTCCCAAGATAATTTCGGGTCCTACGTGCATGTCTGGGTTCATACTGATCATATGAAGTTTCTTCAATTTCAGTGTTGAGTTGTTTTGATCGTTGTCAGCCAGCAATGATGTCTGGCAAGAAAGCTCGGGCAGCGAGGAGTTCCCAGGTGCGAAGAAGATCCGGATACGAACAATACCAATAGAACAGGTCAGTACAAGAATCAGATCGAGTTTGATACTTGTTAATTTGCTGCGAGGTGCTTGCAGCAACGGGAAGCTGCAGTGGCTTTCTGTCATTGAACTTCCATTCTGCTGCAGCTTCGTTTCTGGAAGGGGAAAAGGGGCGTGGATGTCCATGCGCTTCCTAAGCTATTTTGAAATAGACCCGCATTGATCCGGACCTTAGACAAAGGGGAGAAGATGTCATGGAATCTCGCAGATATTTGCAGCTTGTTGATCTCAATGGTGGCCCGAATCTCACTTCCAAATCTATGTACGCACTAGAAGATGGCAACATGACGGCCAAATGCTGAAGTGAAGCTGCTTGGCGTGATCCCGATAGGTGCAAACTACAAGATTTTCATTCGTGTTCCTTGTAAGACTGTCCAAGGGCCTCACTCTGGCAGCTGACCCAGTGTCAATTGCTGCAGACTCTCACCCTGAACAGGAACTTCACGCCCTGAGGGGTCTGGGATTGGATTCGAAAGGGCAAGGCATGAAATCAATTCTGGATTTTGAAAATTTGCTTGATTTCTTGCGGTCGTCACGGGGCGAGAAACATCAGGCAGCAAATCATCTCAATTAAGATGAAGTTGCCTGAAGGAGACCTGCCATGCCCAAAAGTCCCCACGGATATTTCATGTAGCGTTAAAAAATTAGTTTGGGATCTTATCTTTAAAATTTCTGATATTGATAGCGCCAGGACTAAGGAGATATTCAATCAGAATTTGAGACTCACGATATAAGTTATCAGTAGGAATTTGATCAGCAGGAATTTCAGCTCATGGGCATATTACCATATAATAACAATATCTCAGGATTTATCTTGCATTACGAGACTCTTGATAATGGAGAGCCAGAGAGAGAGAGCAAACAAGCAAGAGAAGCTATTTTGGTTCAAGTCGCGAGTGGTTCAAGGCCCGAGCCCCCTTACGAGAGAGGGCCAAAAATCCGGCCGCGGAGAGTTAATACGAGAGTAGCCCTCCATATTTGCGACTGGCACTACTAGTCTGCCATATTACGCGACTACACCTACCTCGTTCTCGCCGAAGAGATCGGAAAGGTCGGTCTTGTACGATGATTTTACGTCACTTATTTCGGGTGATTATCAATGCTCCGCTTTGAGGTTTTCGGCGAACTAACTTAGGGACGTCTCCCTTACGAATATCGCTGGGTGGATTTATTTGTTAACTAGCCGATTCACTATAACTTCTTCACTGGGCGGGGGATACTTTCAAGGGAGAGATTGTGCACTACTTGCAGCCCGACGACCTCGCAATACGTGTAAGGATTTCTTCAACGGATCTGCGTCACTAGGTAGGGGCCGTAGAAAGTATCCCCGGGCTTGGCCACGCGGGGCAGGCAGATCAGGAGCCCGCTGGCTCCCCTACGCAGAAACGTAATCCCGGATCGGCAACCATCGACGCCATGTGGGAGCTGCTTCGCCAGAACAACGCGGAGCTCAAGGCAGAAATCCCCCATGCAGTGGGGCAGCGAGTCGAGTTGGTGGAGAAAACCGTGACGTCGCAGCTCATGACAAAGTGCGTATGCTGCAGAATATCACCGCCACGCAAGACGATTCAGGCGGGGCGATTAAAGAACTTCGGGATGGTCACCGCAGCCTGGCCGCTAGACTCAGTGCCCTTGAGCTGCGCTCCAGCAGCAGGGAGGGATCTAGCTGGGGGTCTACTACAGCCGACGAGACGGAGAAGCGCAAACCGGCCATAATAATAGGCGGATGGCACGAAGACCAATATGCGGATCAGATACTGGCGGCAGCAAAATAGATGGTTGCAGATCTCCGTATTCACCTGGACGTTGATACCGCTTTCTGTCCGGAATCCGAAGAGGCTTTGTGATCATTCCGTATGAACCACGGAATGGCGAATCGGAGCAGCAACTCAGAGACCGCCTTCGCGGGGCGACGCAAAGAGTCTTGGAAGTAAATATAGAGCTGGGCAAGCGAGAGGACGGCACTACTCAATGACTATGGTTGCACTGCACCTCTCCCAGAGCCCAGAGAAGAGGCGGCGCGCCATGGTGGCCTCCAAGACAAAGCGCCTCCTGCTGGAAAACGAGACGACCAAGCATGAGATCGAGACTGAGTGGTCCAGCGGCACCGTATGGTGCCGCAACTCCCGACTGTGTAGTCCTGTGACACAAGCACACATGGGGCGACCAACGCGGGCACCATGGGGGCGTGGATTCATATGGGATAGATCGCCCGGCTTCTTGGTGCCTCAGAAGGAGACTTACAGAGCAAATGGTAGCCCCTGGCGACGGTCCTACGCTGAGAAGATGATGATTCTGAGTTTCACAGTGGGAGTCAAGACGATCGCCAGATCCCACCCGCGACATGGAACGTTGGGGGGTTGGGGGGCTGCACGTTACAAAATGTGCGCAGTTGCTCGGGGACATGGCGAGACACACCGTATTGCGACCTACAGAGGTACTACTTCTCCAAGAGATAGTGGTGCCTGACCCTGGAATTCAATACGTGGAATATCGTCTATGGCAAGTTGGAAAACGACTGGAGGGGAGAAGGCATCGCATATGTGGGCGACCTTGGCAACCACGAGAAGTCCTGCCGTATACCCGGGACGGTTATTACTATACTCAAACTGCACCAGGGGCAACGACTCGGCATTCTCGGTGGGCGGCAATATGGTCCATGGATGGTCTGAGACCCACTGCTTCCACATACAAAAGCTGCTCCTTGGCATAGACGCCGATGAAACGCTCAGCGTGGTCTCGGGGCGACTTGTAGCTTCCACGGGGCAGGGCAACGCGATCCTGCAATGGGCCGTCGAGCAGGACCTCTACCTCACGGAATAGGCGCTTCACGAACCCAGCCACTTCCCCTACAACCCGGAGCACAAGCCCAGACGTATCGACTACCTGTTTCTCCGGAGCAACACCTCCAGCGGAGGGCGGGTGGCTCACGCACGAGACCTGGCCATTAGTGACCACGAGCCAGTCCTAGTACATCTACAGCTGCCCAGCAGTGGTCGCAGGCCACCACACCGGGTCACATGGGGGGCAAAATAGCTGCTACACCCTGAAGACGTGGAGCGGGAACTGCAACAACCACCTTACCAAGGGGATCCCTACCAGATCATCGTCGATAAGGCCCAGAAGATCCAAAACCCGACCTACCGGGCGAGGCAAGGCTACAAAGAGAGTGCGGAGCTCAAAGCAGCCAGGCACTAGGCCCATGGCACGCGCCCGGGGCAGGAGCGACGACAAGCCTGGAAAAGCGTGCAGAAGCTCCGTAAGGCCGAGAAGCGCGACTACGAGACCAAGCTCGCCGAAGAGGCAAGTCAACTCAACTAGCACGCCTTCAAGAAGCTCAAACAGCTCACGCCGACAGCCTCGACGACCCAGAGTGGCGAAAAGCTGGGCTGGACCACTTCGAGTCGATCTTCAACGCGTAGAAGCCGCGGCCCGCGGACCGCATCAACGCAATCCGGGGCGAGCTGACCAGGGTCTGCAAAAGAACTCCGTGGAGATCCTTCATGAGGGACGAGCTCGAGGCCACAGCAGAAAAGTGGAAGCCGAGAAAAAGCACGGGCATAAACGGGGTAGACTACGAGAGCTTCAAGGCCATGCTGCGAGAGCCCCAGTGGGCACACTACGTGCTCTCCCTCATCAATGACTACCTCTACAAAGCCAACGTCCCAGAGGCAGTGGGGCGACGGGCAACCGTATTGTTACCAAAAGAGCAAATACCCAAGTCTTGGGCCGAAACCAGACCTATCACGCTGAGCAACACCTTGCTGCGCTGGATTGCACAGCTGCTCTTACTGTACTGCCAGCCGTACCTCGACCTCCACTGCTACTACCAGTACTGCTCCACTGGGCGGCAAGCTCAAGAGCTTATTTTAGCTCTTCGCCGGCTAATGCTTGTGGCAAAGGACTGGGGCGTCAAGTTATGGCTAGTGAAAGTGGATGTACGCAAAATTTTTGACAGCATAGCCCAAGACGCACTTGTAGTCATAGTCAGAGACACGGTCGCCAAGCGGGGCGGGCTAGTCTGGGAGCGCAGATTATGGCTGGAAATCCTGGAAGCCAAAGTCACCGACGTGTATGTCGGGAAGTCCCTGGTCTCCGTCACACAAAGCAACGGAGTACGCCAAGGCAGCCCGGACTCGGCCGTGTTTGCAGGAGCTCCATGATACAGTCCCACTGGGAAACCCGGAGCGGCCAGACCTGCCAGCATGCCCCTCGCAAGGGGCGGGATACATGGATGACACCTACCTCTGGTCCGAGGACTCCAAGGCAATGCAGCGCTCCATCACGCACCTAGAGGAAAAGCTCGGGGCCAATGGCAATAAGGTCAATACGAAGAAAATACAAATCCTTTGCAGCGAGCCCGACGACACAGAGTTCATTATTGGCGCTCAGAAGGTGAA